GTTCTTATAATAAGCATTAAATAATGCCAAAATGGGGCATTTTCAATGCCACACTGCTCCTTAATGAGCACGGGCACCCCCCTTTTTTATTTCAAAATTGAAGTTACCATATGACAAATATTTAGTGGACAAAGTTTGACCAAAAATCTATTGTCACTTTTATTTCAGAGGAATTACCTTAATGTAAATTTCCATCACCACGGATTTATTTCAATGGAGTTGTGTCATCTTCTACTTAGCTAGCGGGTTATAGTAGGGATCGAGTGATGAACCTTTTGCAGCATCGAAACCAGCATTCGTTTAATCTTGTTGCTGGGCTGACTCGCTGTCTTTGCAACTTCTCTCTTGCATCTGGGGAATAAATAGAATCCTTTTCAGTGATCACAAGACTGGTAAACAGGCATTGCATGATCAGACGCTGATCTGTGCTCATTGCTAAGGAAGAGACTCGAACACTGGACGTCCGTGCTTTCCATTGAACCAAAAATTCCGAAATTTTCGACGCGGGGACAAATGGCACGGAAATTTACAGGGAAAGTTCCTAAAAATCCGGAAATTGTTGAATTTCCGAGAAGCGAACCATTTAACCGAAATTGAAAATGAAATGAAACGCAAATGAAAATCAAATGAAAATCAAATGAAACGGAATTTTTTTAGTAAAATCTCTTTAAAAAATGTGGGTATACCTCAAGAAGTTACCCTTTTTTTTCAGAAATAATGAAAATTCGCAATTTTCCTATTCAGCGTTATATTTTAGTTGTTCTGGTTGCGATCCGGGGGAGCGAGTTGGACATCACACGCAAAGATGACGGCGACGCATATTCCAAAATGGATAAACATTTTGCTTTAGAATCTTGACACTTGCCTGTCGAGGAACACAGCTAGATACGTCAACAAAGCGTTTAATTCCAATAAAATTAATAGTATGCCCCTGTGATGTACTTGTTTGTTTTTCGTTTTTTTTTTCTTTTTTAGCATAGGTTGGCTAAGAAATGTATGTAGCTTTATAACGAGTGCAGAGCCATTGTACCACTCCACATTTAAACCCTTTGTTTTGGGACGTTTTCGCTGTCGTTGTGGTTTGTACAAGGTCCCTGCTGCATGATTTGTCAACGAGTTTTATTCAAAGCTAAAGTGATCCTGAAACACAGAACAACTCAGCACGTGAGACCACTGTTTCTATTTGTTTACCGGCGCAATAAAGTACGCGGGATGTTGGGAGAACACGAAAAAAAACCTTGTAAATCCTGAGCCGTTTGGCTATGTTTACTAGTTTTTCGATTGTTCTCTCGAAGTGCCGCGTATCGGAAACCATACATTTACCGGTATAAAAGACGATAGGTTTTTGACTAATCGGAGCGCGCGTAATATCTCAGTTATTTTATAACTGCTAATAAAAATAGGAGGCGTTGCCAATAGCCCTTTTCACGGTTAACTTTGTCATTTGCATTACAATAAAATCTAGCGTGTATGTGACGCAACTTCGGGCTACTTTGTTGTTTTAGCCCGAAATTGCCTCGCATACACGTTGGATGACATTGTAATGCAAATGAGAAAAATTAAACGTGAAAAGGGCTATTTTGATATATTTAAATTTTAACTTGCTCCGAGGCTTGGGGGAATAAAACAAAATAAATTAATTATTTACCTTTCAGCTTGATGCGACTACGTTTGTTTGTTTATTCCTCAGAGTCTCGGAGACAAGTTAGAATTTTAAGATATCGAAATTAGCCTATTAAGACATTGGAAGTTATTGTATAAAGTGAAAGTTGAAGAAAAGTCTTTCATATATTCATGACCATTCACATATTCTGTGCAGAAGTTTATGAAGAAGACGATGAAGAAATATGGTAATTAAAATAATAGGTACCCAAAGGGTACATGTGTTGGATACCTCATTTGCATTAACGGACACGAGCCGATGACAATAGTGTGGGATACCACAGGTATCCCACGCAAAGAAACTGTTCAGTCAGATATGTACAGAGACCAATGTTGTGTACAAAAACAAGTGGCAGGTTTTATTTGTTATAGAAGTCTTCAGTGACTTACTAGACTACAGCTGTCCAGCTGACCCACTAAACCTCTCAGTTTCCCTCCCCTTCCACGTCCTGAAAAACTCAGAAGTGAATGGAAGTGGCCATGATATCCACATGTTTTTTTTTAGAGAGAGGTCACATTTAGCTTGTATGAAACAAAAACGATGTGAAATGTTTCACTGATTAAGTTAAAACTGAATGGAATGTCTTGAAATTTTAAACGTTTGTTTGGTGTGTGCCTCGGCACCAAATTTTGTTGTTTCGTGCCAACCGGTGTTAGCATATAGTTAGTGGTAACTAACTATGGTTTGAGACAGCTATGTTTGACAGAATTGTCAGTTTTTGCCTCAAAATTTGTAAAAAAATTACAAGATGTCGGATTGAGATTTTTAACTAACCTTTTCCTCTATAATTCCACTACTGGCTCATATTTTTCTACAGTGATGTGATGTTATAAATTCAAGTTGGTGGATTCAACACGGCGACTCAATAGTTAAATCTCGACCTCAGGGCGAGGTTAGGGACCGGTCATTATTTATCGTCGGGAAAAGGGGAGGGGAGGGGGGGGGGCAGTCAGTGAATTCTTGGGGATCATTTGATTCTTAGGATAACAGAAGGGGGGATAAGTCATAACTGAGAGCCCAAAAGGGGGGCCGACCGCTAAATGCCACTTGCCCACACAGGCTTAGTGGACGGTTATTTGGCACTTTAAAAAGTAACTTAGCAGTTTCCAAGCACTTGGGATGGTTAGATTGCTGGTATGTCAACTGACATCAGTCACAAGGTAGAACGGCGGAATTCCACCAGCTGTAAAATCAAATGTAGCTGGCCACCTGTTCCGGTTATTAAAACTTGCGCACACACAACGATAACTTAAGACATAACAGACTGAGACGTTTCAAGAGGAAAATAGTATTTGAAAAGGTGAATCGAAACAGCGCTACCTGCTACGTCTAATTTTATGATCATAAACAACTCTTTTTCCGTAACACTAGGCGTACGAGCTGGGGGGGGGGGGGGGGGGGGGGGACTGCATCCCCCAGCTACGGAAATTATGTAATTTTTCGGGCAAAAGGCTCATGATTCGGGCAACGACACTTAAGATAAAGCATTACAAAATTACGAACGAAGACCAAGACTTTGGTTTTTGTAGTGGCTCTGAAAAGAGCCTTTTGTACGCTACGAGTCTCCTGTGGCCAAAAGAAGACTCTTTCGAAGCACGTCTAGCAATGCCTCGTTTCGTTATTAGAAATTCTCGAGTATATCGGGACGCTCGTGTAGAATAGAGTCCCCGTCCAAACGGTGCATCTTGAAACAAAAATGTCGCTGAACGAACGCCATATCAGGTGCCATGAGAGGAAGATCTTTTCCTTTTTCATTGAGTAAGCAAGCTTTCAATAGAACTATTTTTTGGGGGGAATTATAGTAGTTCCCTTAGATGTGAGCGCTGTGAACGGTTTTGCTTTTCATGCAATTTGAGTGCGTTTGCATCCCGATTTCACTGAACTCTCACGTATTCGGGCGTTACGTATATGTTTTTCGGGCAAGGAAGTCACAGCGCCCCCCNCCCCCTTCCCCGCCCAAGTCCGTAGGTGCCCGTACGCTTATGCCCGTCTTTGCCGCCCTCCCAAATGCATGAAATCGCATCTTTGGTAACCTACAATGTCAAAATTTTTCAGGGGGCATGCCCTCGGACCTCCCTAGGTTGGCTTGGCCCTTCGGGCCTCGCTTGCATTTACGCCGCCAGTTATGCTTTATTGGATGCCTGTGAAAACTTCTGCTAAGAGCCCTGATCAGATATCGGGATCCAGACTAGCAAAAGACACGGACCAAGAGACTGCACCATATGGAGGGTTCATTATACTGTAAGTAAATCATAGTTAGAATAATTTCATGTCGCCGTTTAAGGTCTTAAAAGCACTAAACATACAACGTCGAAAGTTGGATGTGTGTGGGAAGGCATGGGACAGGGAGGGGGGGTATCACGACATTTATCAATAGCTATGAGGGGGGATCACTTCAATGAAATAGCATTAAAAGGGGGGATCAGTTAAATGTTACTGTCTTTAGCCGAAACTCTTCCGACCCCCCTGCAGGTGATAAATAATGACCGGTCCCTTCGCCTCGTTAAGCCTCTATGTTGTTAGGGTAAGGCTGTTTAGGAGTTGTTCGACGTTCACCAAAAACGTTACCTATCAAAACAGTTGCTCAAAGTTGCGCTATTTTTCAAACTTGCATATTTATTTAAAATCTATCTCTGAAACCATTTGTTATTATTTGTTGCAAAGCCTGGTAGTTCGCAGTCATTACCAAGAACGTTAAATTTTGCTCTCTTGTCCATGCTCCCCCGCCGAGAAAAACCACAACTGTTGCGGAACCTGGGCCCAAATTACCAAATCTACTCAGGCTTGAGGCGCCATTTTTGAAGAAACCTTCATAGAACGCTTCTTCCCTCATTTGAAACTCCATTTTGCAGCAAGATGATGTAAACCAGTGTGATTATATCTGTTGCGTTACCTATTACTGGATGGAAACCGATCCAGATTACGAGTTTGAAGCTCCAAAATGGTTCGACTTTACAACAGATTTCGAGGATGAACTCAACGACGATTCGAAGTGAGTGTAATATTGACGAATCCAGATGTGTTGATGTCTTCAATAAGCTTTACACACGGCTTGCATTTTATTAATGCTCGTCAGTAAGCATATGAGCATGTCTGAAATTTCTATCTTTTAAAAAAAAAAATTAGGAGCGAAATACTTAAAAAGGAGATACAGAATTGAATTCGTTGCAACCGTCGTTTTAAAATAACATCCTTCATGAGAGAGTAGTGTGTAGCTTAACTCCTTTTGCCAGTTTATCGAACTCATTGTGTTGGGTAAAATGGTTTGATCATTATAATAGCCGGGGATTTTGATGTTTATGGGAAAATCGATTAATAAGCGAGAGCATAATGTAAGCTTAATCAATCGAACAATTGTGATGACCTTGGTAAACGTAAGCTATAATCAACTGCTTAGTGTTCGTAACACGAGCTTTAGTTTAGTTTTTTGGATGAGGGAATTAGTTTGAAATGAACTGTTATTTAATACATCTACATGTACGAGATGCTTGATGCTGTACAGTGTATGTGGTTTAGACGCATTTCACTGTACTTAACAATGAACTAATTACGAAATAGAAAACACGTACCGTGTTTCTATCGAGTTAGAGAAACACGAGTGGAAGTTTGGGAGAAGGACAAATGCTGTGGGAACACGAGCCACGGGCGAGTGTTTCGAGCTCTCGCAAACTTTCATGAGTGTTTCTATTACTCAATAGAAACACAGAGAACATGTTTTCTATTTCTTTTAGAAAACAATGGACGAAAAAAAAAAAAAGGGAAACAACCTGTTTACTTTGTTCATCAAAATGTAAATTCTCTTTGCTCGTGCCATCATTATGTCAACAGCTTGTGCTAGCTCTGTGTTTCCATCGAGTTATAGAAGCACGATTTTTAACCAATCTTCCCATGCAATTTCTTAGGGCTGTTTTCTAATGCAACATACTGATGTGTTGTGGTTAAGCTTGGTACAATTCGGTATTTTCCTTTGTTTCATATGCATTATAGTACATTACATACCAGACACTAAAACAGATTGTACCATGATAAAAATTGAACCACAACATAATATTATATACACTTTATATAAAAAAAATTGATTTTTTAAATTGCCGACATGAAGCTGCTTTGAAAGCCTATTTGAAATGAGCTACTCACTGTAAGAAAAATTTGTAGCTAGCTGACGTATTCTGAATAATTAATAAATTAATTAATATATTAATAAGTGTGAAATGAAAAGAAAAAAAAAGAAAAAAAAATAGATTTCATGTTGCCGTGTGTCTGTTCATTGATAGATCACAAAATAAGAACGTCAAAATGTAATAAGAAAAAGTGGCACACCAGGCGATAGCAGAGTGTGTCAGTATTTTTTTTTACCACATTTTGACGTCTCCTGTGAGCTGTTACTGAACAGACGCATGGCAAAATGGAATCTATCTGTTTTATACATAAAGAAACAAAAATTGTTAATGACATCGTCTATGCATCTGTCAGGACTCCAATAGATCAAAAATAAGAACCAATAAAAGTTCAAGAATAATTTGACTGATTATATATTATATATAATTATTTTCTATTTCTGATAGCCAAAATGATTCATGGTTTGAGAGAGCTCACCCACTGCATGAACCAAGAGATCC